CTCTTTTAACTGCAGCTGTTGCCGCTCCATTAAATATAATTGATAATTCTTATGAAATGTATTCTTTAGTAAGGTAAATAATGCCTTTTTTAATATTTTATTATCTTAAACATTTTTCTAATGATATACTTTTTTTTTTTTAAGTTTCGTTGACTTTATTAATGTTATGGCGTATGATTATCATTCATACCAATGGTATTTACCATTAACTGGTCCCAATTCCCCTTTGTTTTCTTCGCGAAATGATTCTGGATACTTCCAGTATTTAAATATTAATTCTTCCATTCAATATTGGATCTCAAAGGGTATGCCTAAAGAAAAGATATTGCTTGGTATGCCTACATATGGACATTCTTTTAAGTAAGTTTTTATGATTTTAATAAACTGTAACTATTTTAATATCATTTTTCTTTTTTAGATTAATAAATGAAGCCAATAATGGTTTTGGTTCACCTTCTTCTGGTCCTGGTATTGGCAAGGATGGTTTTGTAACTTTTTCAGAAACGTGTGAGTTTAAATCACGCCAAGATGCTTCTACTATTTTTAACCAAGACACCTACACGCCATATTCATATCATAAAAATGACTGGATATCTTTTGATGATGAAAATAGTTTGGCGTACAAAGCAGAATTCGCTGCATCTTTAGGTTTAGGAGGTGCCATGGTATTTTCTTTAAACACTGATGATTATAGTGGTTCAAGTCTATGTTCGCAATCAGTATTTCCATTAACTTCTAGAATAAAAATAGTTTTAAATGATGACTACTTATAAATATTTAGAGGACACTTAACTAAATACTAAATAGTGATAAAAATACCAACTTCAACTTTTTGATATTCAATAGCCTCTATAATATATTATTATATTATATACATAATAATTTATAATTTATGTTAATAATGTTGTGGGTGCTAAACTGCTCTCTACCAAATAATGGAACAAAAAATAACTTATATTTTATAATGTCTGAAGGATTACTTTTAAATTTGTACCATAATAGGTATTTATTGACATTTTAACTGTTTATTAGCATTGTCTATAAATTATTTAATGYTCAATCAACCTATTGTTTTGTCAACAACCGATAAAAATGTCATTACCAAACCACATCAGTGCGCGGTTTATTTCATGGTTTGGAGAATGTGCTTAAATATCCGAACAGTCAGGTTTCATCAGTAGCTGATAAATCTCTAGTCTGATTGACTAACTAAAGAGTTTAAAATGTTATAATTAAGAAGAAAATAGTTAAATCAATAATTACAGACAAATTTTATAGGGAAACCTGTATAAAAATATTATAGTAGCTTAGCATAATATTGTAGTCACTCATATTTAAAAGTTAGTATAATAGAATCAGCAAAGATAAAAATATTAAAGGAATATAATGTAAACTTCCATTACTCATAACCTTTACCTATTATGTTATAAACATATGCCATTGCTATCTATAAAATGTTGCATTCTTGGATAAGACCTTAAATAAAACCAATTTTTTTAAACATTAAGTTAGGATATAAGTTCATACCTAGAACCTTTAATTGGAAATATAAAAATAAAAGACCCAAATAGTTATGGATTGAACATCAGTAGAATATGAATCCATAAACAAGTAAAAAAGTTTTAGTTTATGATATTAGTTATTTTTTTAAAGTCTAAACATTATTTACAACAAGAGTGAAATAAATAAATATATTATTATCTCAAATGTACTTGAAGTATTGAAAAGTAGTAATTGATTCTATAAAAGTTTTATTTAAGAATATTCACTATTTTATAATATGTTTTGAAACTTTTCTACACTTAAATTCTTTATTGTTCAAATTAAATGATTTTTATTAATTTTAAACTAAATTAAAATTTATAGTATTTTTTAAATAATTATTTTAGCATACACAAAGTATTATTTTTGTTATTAGTTAATTTATTGAAGATATTGAATTAAGTGAAGTTCAATTAAATTATATAATAGAAATATAAAGAACMCTACTTATACCAATATCATTCAAATTCCATTAAATTGTTATTACCATTAAAAATGTTTATATTTTTTTACATAATATTATATATTTTTATTTTAGGAAGTTGTGATGTAAATTATATACTACATTTGTTTTTTGTATTAAGTATTGAAAATAATTAAATAACAATGATGACCTAAAAACTGGACTTATTAATACTATTGATTTCCTATGTGTTTGATATTAGTATAGTAATTGGCAATATAGTATTAAATAAATCATTAGGCTTTAGATTTAATTATTATGATTATTTATTTAAT